CCATGAAGTAGCGGCCACCGGCCCCAGCCCCGCGCCCGCTGCCCGGTCCTCTTCCGGCGGGGCCGGAGCCGCGTGGACATGGCTGGCGTTCGCAGCCTGCTGGTTCTCCTCCTCCTCGTTTTTCAAAGCAGCTGTTTGGGTTTCAGGAGCCCACTTTCTGTCTTTAAGAGGTGGGTGTTTCTTTTCTTTTTTTTTTAAATAGGCAGAATGTTGTTTGGGTGGTTTCTGTGCATGCTGTTGAAAAATGTGATCACTTTTACGAACCAGAGTGTCGGAGAAATGTACAGGTTGATTTACTTTGCTGAAACGACTTGGAATTGTAGCACAGTAACTTCTCGTAAAGTCCCCCTTACAGAAAAAGCCCACTGTATTGTAGCCAAGCTGCACTGGCTTTCAAAACTCCAATTAGAAGTTGTGATTTCCAATACAGATTGCTCCCTCTTGGGGAGATATTTCAGGAACTGCAATGTAGTCGTTTAGACTTGAATGCGTTCTTGTTTATAATAACTCGAAGAATAAAATATCCGTATAGGTAAGTGATAAGGAGAAGCAGGTCATGGATTGTAACCATGAGAAAACATTGAGCTGTATACACACTCCTCATAATTACCATATTAAATATTTATGTTCTTGTACATTTGTAATTCACATTGCAGTCCCTCCACCCCCATACAATTTTGCCTCCTAGCATTATTATTTTTGGTTTTTGTTTCTGACTGATAATACTGGACACGCATAAAATAGTTACAAAAATTTTACTGGGTCACAGTTAATATTTCTTTCATTAGAAAATTGGCAGGCTTATGATAATTTCAAATTTATTAATACTGTATTTTCATTAATTAGAAACTGATAAATATTTTGACAACTTATTGAATCACATTTTAAATATAACCTGCTTGATTGCTTTGATTATATTTTGTTTACAAGTTGGGTATGTATTGCTCATGGATTATAAAATGCAATTCCAGGAATGTTTTAGAACATTATATAAGTTATTACATGTTTTCATGGGGTCTAAATCAATAATCTTTAATCTTATAGTTATATAATTCCCTTTTATTTTCCATCTCAAGTTAAGATCACATTATGTTCAAGGATATTGAAATTGTCTTCTTTCGTAAGGTTTAAAGAAACCTCAAGATCATTTTCCAATGAATGTCTTGGTACCACTCGACCAGTAAGTCCTATTGATTCATCTGATTTTACATTGGATATTCGCATGCCTGGGATTACGCCTAAACAGGTGAGAAGAATTCTGTATTTTATTTTACTTGTTCTGTGTACAATCTATAATTAAAGCAAAAAACTGCATTTACAGCAGTAGTGCCTTCTTTAAAAATAGGTATTTGCTTTCAAGACTTCTCAGGGCTAGAATAATTGAATATTATAAAGGGGAGCAAATCTTTCAAGGTAAATCTTTTAGTTAATTTTTTTAAAAAAAATTTAACTCATATTGTTGTTTGTATTTTGAAATGGAACCTTGAAATTTTATGTTTTGAAATTCTCAATGGAATACCACTGTACTGTAACATGTAAGTATTATTAAAATATGTGAAAAGTTTTTCTAGTAAAGGGAAATTATATTGAGCAGCTACATCTAAGAGATTACTTTGTTTAAATACCCTTCTATCACAGCCACAAGATGAGTGATGAAAGCCCGTGTTTACTGCCAAGAATGTGAAAAACAAAATATTCCATATTTTTAGAAGTTGAGAGAACTATTCATACAGGTGGTTGATTATGAGTTTTCTTTAGCACAATTTGCTTGTTATAAGAGATATATTTTGAAGAAATGATGGCAGAATTCATACAAACATGACTTATAGAACGTTTTGAGTAGAACTAGGTTGTTACTAGGGCTTTCCCAATTTTAGATACACACAAGAAGCTCAAACCCACTGCTGTCGTGTGTGCAAGGTGTTTCATTAAGCATAATGAAAGGCCAAAATTAATTATGCTTTGCAACCACGCAGTGCAGGGATTTATGTGTGTCATTAAAAGATAGTCCTCTCCTTTCTAAGGCTGCCGAGAGAGACCTGGGTGTTGTAGAGCTGCAGTGGCTGATGACTCATTGTTGCAGATACCATTCTATTTTTCTTTTCTTTTCTTTTTTAAGTACTGAGAAAATAAAAATATTCTACTTACTGGGGAGAATTCTTTTGAAAATGACATCCAGAAACTCTAGAAAATGCTCATGGTCCTTTTTGAGCGAGTTAAGAATTCACAGTCATTTATTTGAATATCTGTATGATCTCACTCTCTGTAATTAACTACTTTTACTATTGTAAAAATTACCCTCACTTCCGTCCCCCAACCCCTGAACATCCTCAAATGACCAGGAAAATGACTCTTTCGTAGGTTCAGTTGTTAATGTCCTTCAATTCCATAAGCTCTTTATTTAATATTTAGCCAAAAGAGATGTAATGAGATTAGGAATAGGAGGGAAGAATGACGACAGCTCCTCATTTGTGAAGTGTGCTTCTTCTTGACGTTTTTCACTTTTAAAAATGATTTTCTCCCTATATTTGCTTAAACTGACCTTATATTACTTCTTTAAAAAAATCTACTGTGATCTTTAAGCACTTTTTTTCTCAAGAATATCATTATTTTCTCATATAGTCACTTGTTGCGGTTCATTATGTTTTTTTCTTCTCATTATTTTGCAGTAATAACATTTAAAATATTTAACAATAATAAGAAGTAACTGTGTTGAGGTCAATATTCTCAGAAAGAATTCCTAGAGGAACTGATTATAAAAGAATATAGAGGAGCTAAATTTTCATAAAATAAAATGTGTTTACTCATTTTTATAATTTTAAAATTATCAAAATAACTCCATGGGAAAACATATATTAATTCTCGGCTTGTTATTTTGCATTATCTGAATTTGTCTTATGCCGTAGACACTTGTTGGTTCCCTTCCAGCATATAATTCCCCATCACTCCTCCTTTTGACTCCATGGGGTTTCCAGGAGCTGTCTATCCGGGACCCAGAGGTGAAGCAGATGGACTAAGATTAGCAGATCATTGCATCCTAGCTCCCCTTCCACAGTGACTGGTTCAGAAGAAGGTACATGACCTAGACCAGTCCAGTAAAATCTTAGGACTTTTGCTGTGAATGCACCTTTCTGTTGCATGTGCGCCAAAGGCATGTAGTCCTGTGGTCTGCTACGTTCATGAGGGGAGCCACGCCTAGAATAAAACTAATACCATAGAAGGCAATGCAGAGATACTGAAACAATATAGTAGGTTCTTGGTGACATTACTACTTAGAGAGTTTTTAATTATATTAGCCTTTCTTGTTTCAACCAGGTCGAATTGGGTTTTCTCTGACTTGTAACTGAAACCACCTAACTAGATGAGTGATTCACTTGTTCTGCCTGATCAGTTCGGAACTGGTCGTTGAACGTTTCTTTCACTTTCCCCTATCACTATTGACTGGATGCTACAAGTACTTACTGACTTGATCTGGCTGACATACAGATTATATACCGTAAACCTTCATGAGAAGTGGTAGTTATACTACCTACTGAGTTTACTCAGAGGTGGTTAAAGAAATCCCATACCTCTTTCCTCTTAAACTTGGTGTTCTTGGTGAGGAAGACGTAGAGCTGTAATTGTGTGTGTATTTTTGTTGAAGAAAGTATTCTTAAAACGCAGATAACACTAAATTTAATACTAAAAGAAAAGAGATAAGGAAAAGAAAGAAAAATGAAAATATATTATAGGAAAGAAATAAAAGATAAAAGGGAATAAGAAGAGTAGGCCAAAAGAAACAAGAAAAGAAATACAAGAGAATAGAATGATCAAGGACAAAAATAAAAGGAAAAAGAAATCAAGAATAACTATAATATGAAGAACAGAACATTTTTAAAAATTATATAAGAAAAAAGGAGTGAGGAAACCATAAAAACTAGGAAAGGCATTAAGGAGTTAAAAACATTTTTTTTCTTTTATTATTTGTTTTTCTTTTTTTTAAATGGCAGAAAACCAAGAAGAGCTACAAAGTTGAAAGAAAGAAGGGACTGGGAGCCAGAAGTAGATTTGGTAATTAAAGAGATATGGTTAAAGAGATATATTCACTCAATAGATTTGGTTAAAGAGATATATTCACTCAATAGATTTTTTTATAAAGTATGCCTTAACTTTTGGCAGTAATGAAATATACATCAATGAATCTGATGTAAGTCCTTTCCTTAGAGAGAACCTGAGCTATATTATAGACAGTACAAATAACTAATTTTGCTTGTGGAATACAGGTCTAGATTAGTGTCTTATCAAAGAATATCCAGTCATGCCAAGCCTCTGAGTTGCAGCTCATTCCATACCATCATAGACTTCAGAGCAGCCTTTAAAGGTTGCGTCCATTAAACCAGCTCCAAAGAATCTGGGCAACATAGCTTATTATTTCAAGCGATGTCAGTATTATGATCAAAGTTAGCTCACTGTTTCTTTTCTCTGACTTGAAATTAAAAAAATAATTTCTATCCTCTATTATAAATTTCTCATTGATCAATGTTTTTTTTTTTTCAGGCTTTGGGAAGATTAGGGAGAAAAATAACAGCTTTTAAGTAGCCTAGAGTAGAATCTGTTGTCCGATGGCACTGGCTTCATATCCCGCAGAGCCTCGAAGTATGGTATTTCCAGACTCTTTTTTTTAGCACTTTGTCTTCCTCGTTTGATTCCCTTTCTCACCTGGCACCCTGGGGGCTTTTGCTGTCACCAATTCTCATTTCAACAAACAAAACAATTTGATAAACTGCCAGTTCATGGTCATAGTAAGGTGCTATCATCAGTTTGATGTGTTAACTAGCCCACCGGGGGTTAATTGTAAAATAAAATAAATGAGGCATAATTACAGTGATTTTACATAAAGCTTATTGTCTGAATTTAAGCCAAATCTAGTGGACTAGAATGTAGACTTTGGGGCCAAGCTAATAAAATTCTTATACCAACTCTTGCAGTGTCAATTC